AGGAGATTCTTACATGTGTGAAGACCAATCGCACATGACTGTTTTATTTCTCCTTTCTCTTTCTTTTATTTTGGACCATTGGATTGTATCTAATTCAACGGGTGGGATGTTGTCGAAACTTTAAAAACTAAAAAGGATTAAAACCCTTCTGTTTTGAGAGATAAGTAGTGAGAAAAAGATAGAGAAATTGTGCTGCAATTGAGTTTTCTCTTAAGGGCTGTTATATTCTTTGATTTAGAGAGAGAAAATGAACAAAAACTTGAGCCCATTGTGGGTTTGATGTGTTATCTCTTTTAGTGAGAGAAAATGTCAAAGAGAACCCATTTTTTGGTATTCTTGGTGCCTTATTTTGGGCTCTGTTTAGAGTGAAAAAGGGTTGTTGGAAATTGTTGTTTTGAGCTCGATTTTACCTTGTAAGCTTCACAAATCTGCAAGTAAAGTCTTGTGTCATTCTCCTGTGGATGTAGGTCACGATTTGTGATCGAAAAATGTTAAATTGGTGTGCTCTGTGAATGCATATTGCTGGATTTTTCATTCTATGTTCTTACTTTAAGATTGTGTAGTCTCCATTGCTTGTTTATATGGATATGAATGCACAATAGCTGTGAATGTTATAAGCCTTTGTTGATTTTTCACCAATCGAATCCAACCACGCTAAAAGTGATTCTATCTTCACCATCAGATACATTACTTGTTTCGGCATGACCATCCTTACTCTTGGTCTTCTAATTATTCTCCAAAGCATAACAATTTTTTTTTGTATGACCAGGTTTCTTACAATACCAACAAATAACCTTTTTGCCCTGTGACTTAGATCTACCTCTACCTAAGATTTACTCCTATTAAATCTAAATGGTTGATCTCTATGCTATATTCTTCCTCTATCTCCTGCTTTCAATGCTCGATTTGATTTAACAAACATTTATGTAGATGCCTTTTTAGTCTCTTTATTAATAATGAAGCAACACCATTTTGCAAATTAAACTTGTTACCTATTTTATTTGTCACAGTGGTAATCAAAGTATCTCAACCTGTAGGTAAAAAACTCAGCAAAAGAAAACATAAAACTTCTTCATCTAAATTCATTTTTAAAGATTGAATTAAATTCACTAACATCACTCGAATTATTACACCTTCTTTCATTTTAAAAAATAAATAATTTTTTTGTTACATGCATTTTATTTGCACCAGATGGTTGTTCAAAATATTGTTTTAAAGATTGTCAAAGCTCTGTAGATATTTTACATTGACAAATATCAAATAAAATTGAGGGTAAAATATAATGTCTAGTGGCGGTCAAACGTTTTCAAAGAAGATCATTCTCAATCTTCCACAAGCCCATCATGTTCTTTCCCGACAAGATAATCTTTCATATTTGTCAATTACTTTGATTTAATTTTTTCAATTCTATTGCTCTTTATATTTTAAGAAAAATACAACGAATAAGAACAATAACAAAACCCCTTTTTCCACAAACACAATAAATCACAAATCCTAGGTTCTGTTACTAGTGGTGTTCTATGGTGGTAAAAATACAGCAGTAGCATGCCACATATATAGCTATTATGCATCCAAAATCACATAAATGAGCAACATAAACAATATGACATCAAAACAACAACACAAAATGAAAATACAACATCCACATTACATAACACAATGATTTAACGTGATTCAGTCACAAATTGTGACCTACATCCACGGGAGGATGTTCTAATGCTTTACTTATTGATTCGATGAAAGTTCAAAGCTCCAATTTACAATAGTTTTATCTCTTTAGGAATTCAAGAACCCAACAAAATCTCCCTCTTTTAGCACTTTTTCTCTCAATAAAACAGAGAAAAAATACCCACCTTGAGCTCTCCTTCCCTTCTCTTTTCTCTCACTAAAATAAAGAGGAAAAACTCCTTTAAATATGGGACAAGACAAAACACCACAACCATTAGATTAAATGCAATCCAATGACCCAAAATAAAAGAGAAAATACGAAAAAAAAAATACATATATGATTTGGATTCACACATACATAGCAGCGTCTAGCTCAAGACTAATATCTTTATCAAAGAGAAAAAAATATGGTAACATTGGTGGCTATACATCCCAAATTCAAATTTCAGTTACAAAACTCTCTAACCTTCCAAATAGAACTAAAACTTGGGTGTACTAAAAGCTACCCCTTTAGAATGGAATTGTCGGCAACGAGGGATAATTTGCAATAAGTATTAAGGCCTCTCATTCTCCTTTACATCTTTTTTGTCTTTTCTAGGTCAGGGGTATGTAAAAAGGAGGATTTATGTGTTTTGTTTGTGGAAGAAACTCTATTGTTCCAACCCATTGTTGCAAGAGGGCTAAAGGACAATATTTTAAAGGAAAAAAATTATATGAAGTAATTTTGTACTATTGAAGTAAGGTGCACATAAAAAAAGTTATCTTCTAATGTTGGAAGACCCTTTGTTTGATCATCTCGACCTCGAGATCTAAGTATGTGAAAAGAAGAAGAAGAAAATGACTTGAAGTCGAGAAAATAATACATCTTGTAAGTATTACATGGACTATTCATTTTCAAGATTTCCAGGTTTTATAAAAATGCTCAATCATATCATTATTTGAGCGTAAGGTTTTATAATTAGGAGTGAAAATTTATTGTAAAGAAAAACATAATTAGGAGTGAAAAATAGATTTTAGACAATCACAATGGATTTCGACACCAAAATTGCATCTTTCAGTACAATTTAGCAGTGCGTCTTACTTTGATTATTTAAGGTTGACACCTTATACAAATGCACCCTATTTTAAATTCTTTTTGTAACAAATAGATCTGCAATCATTTTTCTAGAGATAGGAGATTATGCTCTACATTTTATTCTTTTGACATGTGTCCGATGTTATTCCCAATTATAAAAATTAATAAATAAATATATAAAATCGATAAACAACTTACTCGGATCTGTCCTTAAATCACACAAGGGACTTAAGGTTTCATACCAAAACCTATAGACCAAGCCATTCGGTGACAGGCTACCTTGAGAGTCCTTTTGGTGAATCTCCTTCACTAATTTTCCATCATTCTCTATCTTACTTTTACTTGAGGGGTTAACCTCTATTTATAGAGAACCATCTTTTTGTAACTTTCACATTCATGGTCTGTAGGAGTTAAGATCCAAGTATAACTCCTGCCTTAATTCCCTTAAGTGCAACCAATTAAGATTAACAAGTTGTTACCAAATTGTTAACCTATATAATGAGCTAAACTTGTCATTAGTGCACTAATGACTCACACAATATGATTCCATCCAAACATTCTTACAATTTAATAAAAGATATTTAGAAATTAAATAATTTTGTATATCTATAATACATATAAAAAAAAATTATTACAAAGAATCCAGCCACATCAGTGGGTTTCCCTTCAGTGATACTGGGTTTTCTCTCTAACATCCTATAAAAGCTCCAAAATGGATCCTAATATATGGCATTGCCTCATATCAACCACATGAGATTTCACATATACTATATAATATGGTTTTTGTATCATTATTGAAAAATAAATTCCCAAGATAAAGGGCCGATATGCTATATTTCCAACCTCCGCCTCTTAACTTGGATTTAACAAAGGAAACGTGTTTTATGTGTTCGGGAACACAATGCAACCATCCATCTTAAAAGATGGCTTTAAATTGGAGGTCTCTCCAAAAAAAATCGATCTTCCAAATATTATCATTTTTAATATTTAAAATTTATTTTTTTACATATTGACCTCCAGGTTCGGTATCATTTATTCTTAAAAAACCAGTTCTAAAATCCATATAAAAAAATGGATTCATGAAGAGGAGATACATTTTCTACATATAAGTCCAAGGAACTATAAAAACGTCTTCATAGATAAAAACCTATAGAAAATAATATGATGCGCATATGGTTTCTTTGTTAGTAGCTTTATATCGTGTGGCTGCAATTTTGACTTTGCAGTCCAAATTTTCTATTGTAGTTTTTTAAATACTAATGAAAGAGTTCCATGTTGAGATTAGGATCCAAATTTGATGAGGAGACCCAATTATTTATCCACATGCATCCCCCTTCTACAATTCAACTTTTGCATCGAAAATATCGGGGGCTCCTCATGGCACTATGGTGATGAAATTTATCAAAATACTTATGAGAGATACAGTATTAATATTTTTAACTTTCGATGCTATTTTAATATATGATCATTTGTTTTTTATAGGTATTTTGAAATTAAATAAACAAATACATATAATATTAAATTTCAAACTTTCCAAAATTTCATCCATACTTGTTTTTCGGTGAGTAAACGAACATAGCTTTCATGGTAGTCTTAGAACCATGAAGGCATCATGATCATTTGAAAACCGTAATAGTTATGGCGGGTCGTAAGTCAAAGATAGTTTTGAAGCATCATGACACTTAAAGAATTGCGATGGTTTATTGGTCTATCACCGTTCTAATTTAGCCATTATATCTTTATCATGGGGCATAAGAACTATTAATGACCATCACGGCTTTTTAAGTGCCGTGATGCCTCTTAATGATCATTATGGTTGTTTAAGTTCCATGACACCTCAAAATATTAAAACACCCATGACTATCACGATAATGAGTTTACTTTGATGTTTTTATAGTCTTAAGATTATCGTAAAGGTTACTTTGGGTAAAAAAAAAACGTAAAAATTATAAAACAAAAGCATGAATGAAGTTTTGAAAAGTTTAAGGTTTATTTTTAATAATCTAAAACTTGAAATATATTTGTGATAATTTTTCTTTATTTAAAAAATATAAATTTATTTACTCCACACATTTTAAACATTTCTTTGAAATGTGGGAAAAGAGCGTTTAGGAAAAGCAGTGCAAAAGAGGGAATATGCTAAATACTATTATTGGATGCCAGGTGCACTCACGAATATGCGGGAGATTCGCGTAGAGAGAAAAGAACTCTACAGTTCAAAGATCCAAACCACGTGCACAACCCCTCTTCATACGCAGTTATAAACCCCTCCTTTCCCTTCTCATATTTAACAGCAAACAGACTTACCCGTTCGCCCTCTCTCTCTCTATCCCCATGAATTCTCCAGAGACCGACGCTGTTTCGGGGCGCCGGTGTAGCATTCAGGTCCCCCTTTCTCTCTCAAAAATATCTATATATTGTTTCAATTTTGAAATTTCTTGATGCCTGAGAAGCATTGCCTTTCCTTTTGCTTTCTTTCTGTTCTTTTTGAATCTGGTTCAATGGGTTGAAGCAGTGTTGCAATGGCTTCAATTGTAGCTTATGTTTAGTTAGTTAATATGTATTTTGATTCGTTATTAATCATTTTGGCCATGCATTTGGTTATTCTGGTTTGTTTTCCAAGAGAGAAGCCCTTTTTTTCAATATTTTCTTGAAAATTTGGATTTTTGTTTTTTGGGTAATTGAAAGTTTGGAGTTTTGTTTCTGTATAAATTCATCTTTTGGTTTTAATATTATTCTGTTTTTCTTTTCTGGAGGATTGTAATGAATGGCTTCGATTCAATCTGTGTGGCTCATTACATCTCAGTGTTTGCCTCAATGGAAAAAAATAGTTCTTTAGTCCATCTTTCTCGTAAATGTTCTTTTTCTGATTTGGATTACGATTAAAGAAATGGGTGGCTTGTTAATTGATTGACTCCTTGTATTTCAACTTGTCTTGCTTGAACAACAGATGGATATTCATCTCAGCTTAAGTCTATCCGTTGGGTTTGTTTGGCTATATATGTGATGTTTTCCGTGACTCTGAAACGATTTTGGAGCAGGCATTCTTGCGCAATTTCTATGGTCTTGAACATTATGTCTGGTTTTGTTAATAGATAAGTTGAGAGAGTCAGGTTGGAACTGAAAACTTGTAATTTGAAATTTGGTTTCTTCCACAATGCTCCATGTTTTTAGGGTTCAACCTGTAATTCGAATTTGGGTGACACCAGTCAACCAGGAAGTGATAACTCCAGCTAGTTCACTTGCTGTCTATCCACATAGGGTAAAACAAGGTGTATAACTCTTTCATGACATAATGCTACAATAATTTTAGGTGTCTACATGGTGGAATTGATTGATTACTGGCATAGAACTTTTAAACTAGGTGTATACATGAGGTCAGTGTTGAGTTTTGGATTTTAGACACACGTATATGCATGATATCAATTTTGGACTTGAATAAATTTGACACCCTGGAGTCTTATTGCAAATAATAGGCCTGTATAGGAACAAGGAAAGAGCAATATAGAATTTCCCAGATGTTGGCTGCATGAGAATTGTATCCTATGATTCCTGTCAATGGGTACTAAGAAAAGAACTGTTAGGGGCTAGTGTAAATAAGAAGTTAATTCCCAAATCTTTCAACAATAGGTTCAAAAGGGTTCTAACTTTTTTGTCAACTTAAAATGATTAAAAGTTTGGGCATATTCTACAAGTCTTAGCAAGCAGTAGTGGCTTTGAGTTAAATAAAATAAAATAAAATAAAATAAATTAAATTAAATTGTATGGGCATAAAAATTGAATTTCCTTGGATTACCCAGTTTCTTTCTTTTAAAATATTTGCATCCATTTGTACTCAATGCCGTGCTTGTGCATATATTTTCCAAAATAAGAAACTGTAATGTTAATAGACAAGCACACCAAACTAGTAGCTAAAGGAGTGTTTCATTGAGGAGGGTATTGTAGGGGGTGTATAGATACCCTCATGGAGACATGCAGATATTCATTCTAGGATTGTATACCAACTAAATGGGGGAGAAAAGGAATACTTGGCTAGCTTTTTATTTGGAGAAAACAAGAAGTGAGCCTCTCGGTGAACGTAACTGTTAAGTGAAAGACATAGGCATATAAGCACTCACCTTAATGAAAGGCCTATGCTTCAACTTTAAATGGTTCGCCTTTTCCCTTCTGCTCATTTTCTTTCTCTCTTTTCTTTTTCTTTTTCATTTTTCAGGAGCCTTAGTCAGGACGGGTTCTTGAAGTTTTCAGCTATTACTTTTATGGCTTGCTCCTTTTTTTAGCGCCATATGCATATAGTATTTCTCAGTTGAAAGCATTTGTACGTACTTAGTCAACAGATGGAATCATATGCATGTGTAGTCGTATGTGTTTTCAAAGGTTCAATAATGATTTTTAACTCTTAATGCGAATTATAAAAATATTTCAATAAGATTATTATATTCTATTGTTATAGATATGTGAGTTTCTTAGGTCTATGAATCTTTGCGACATTTGTATTGTGTAAATTGAACATGAAACTAGTTGCCAAAGGAGTTTTCCATCTTAGAGGGTATTGGAGGGGCCGTACACATTACCCCCATGGAGCTATGCAAATGCGGTTTCTAGAATCAGACCAAGGAGCAGTGGTCTAATGTCTTACCTAGAGGAAAGAAGTAGCGAAGTCCTCTGTGGAAGTATCTGTTAAGTGAAAGACAAGGATATATAGGCAAGCACCTTAATGAAGGGGCCTATGCTTCAACTTTGAAGGGTTCATCTTTCCCTTCCACTAATATTTACTCTTCTGTTCATTATTCTGGAGCAATACCAAAGAGGCTTCTCGAAATTTACAACTGTTACTTTTATGACCGGTTCCTTCTTTTAGCTGCATATGCATATATCATCTTTTTCAGTTGAAAGTATTTTTTCTTTTATATTTTTACTATTATTAAATCTTAAGTATTTTTCTTTGGTTCCTTCTCTTATTCTTCTCATGTTCTAACAGATACGCAATGAAAATTATCCTCTTCTGCCTTTGAAATATTTCTGGCTGATATGTACAGAAAATCCTGCCCATATCCACATCTGGGGCTTTCATTGTTGCAATTTCTTGTGGTTGAAGATTATTTTCAGCATATTTTCTTAAATTCTGATAACATTCTGATGCTAATGGTCCCACATTTCCTTTTCCAGGTGATATAACTGTAGATCTGGTTGCAAGCATCTCCGCTCTTTCACTGAGTATTATAAAAGATTTTGCTTGCAACCACTCTATAGGAATTTGTTATAAATAGTTCATCATTTTTATGGGTCCTCAACAAACATCTGAGCAACCTACAGCATTAAAGGGGGTCCATGGAGTTCATCTTTTACCCCGTTTTCCATTTGCGGCCGAAATGATCCCTCAAAGTGGGGATATCTGTTCTTCAACCAGTTTGGATCTTGAGGCTTCTGGTTCAAACCAGAGACTATTAATGCAGTAAGTTTGTTGTCTTCATAAAGAGACCTTTGTCTTTTTCTTTTTATGTATAAGCTGAACCTTGGTTTTTCTCATTAGGAAAATAATGTTTGCTCGAGAATTTGATGTAACTATACCTAGCATGGATGTCTCTTATGCTGACTCATAATGTGCAAAGCCTTGTGTAAAATATTGCATTTATTTACTCTGGTTCTGTTCTCCAGTTATAATTTTCTGACTGCATTTTATTTCCAGAAGAATATGGCAGCAGAGACCATCGTGCCTAAGAGCAATTCATTGCAATCTTCAAGGTATTGGATACCAGAAGTTAGCATAGTCTTCACCAATTATAAATAAGGGAAATTATTGAAGTACACTTTTCAACAATTTAATAGTTTACCCTTTTTCAACCATTCCATTTCATGGTCATGTGTATTTTGATGGTTGTCTTGAAATTAAATCAAAAGGTACGGGTAAAATGTTAAATAGTTGATTTCTTATCCTCTTATGTGTATTTTGACAAATTTCCCTATAAATAATTATAATATATATCAGGTAGTTATTATAATTGTTGAACTAGTTCCTTGGTTGCTATTGTAAATGACATGGTTTTTATCTCCCAGGCGATCAAAGTATGCAGGAAACAATTGCCAATGTTATAACATCCTTACCTTTCATTGCTCTTGGTATCCAGGCTCCACGGTGAGGTTTTTTCCGTAATAACCATTGGTCCTTTTGCCATTATGCATCTATGTTCATGTAAAACCACTCTCAACTGGGTCATCAGCATTTAAATTGTAGAAGGTGATTGACTGAGTGGGGCCCACTAGAACAATGCAGTGGCCCAATGGTGGGCCCCTCTCACTTTGTCACCTACCATCATTTCTATGGATGCTGATGACCCACTGTACTACTTTTACTGCTCATATGATTGTAAATTTATAATTTACTCTTCCTTTCCTGTAGTGGCTGAACCATGTCCTGTATGAGAGTGCAGGAAGAGTTTGAATACCTCCCTCTATGCAAATTCGTTGATTGGAGTTGGTATTGCATCTAGTTTGTATCACACCTCAAGGGGAGAAATAAGGAAATATCTCAGATGGGCCGACTATACAATGATAGCCACAGCAACAGTTGTAAGTAAACTATACAACGTCAAAATTCATTAGATGATCTCCTTCAGTAATTTCATTCTATAATTAATGATATCCTTTAGTAATTTCATCATCTAGATGCCTTTTATGAAGTTGGTATTACATTTTCCTTTTGAATGAGACCTTTGAAAATGATACCATAATGTCTAGTTCGGAAAATATCAGTTCCATCCTACCATTTATGTCAGAACTTCCTCTTTTGGGTTGATAAATTTCAATTAGAAGTAAAGGTGTAACAATTCAAGAAAAAAAAAATGATACTATAATGTATAATTTGGAAAATATCAGTTCCATCCTACCATTTATGTCAGAACTTCCTATTTTGGGTTGATAAATTTCAATTAGAAGTAAAGGTGTAACAATTCAAGATAAAAAGGATATGCTACAGTCAGTTGTTTCTGCTTAAAGATGAACTGCATAAATTTAAAACATGAATTGAGGATGGATTTTTTTTTGGAAGTTATGGGTATTCTCGGGAGCTATAACCTAAAAGATCTGAAGCATTTTGATGGGAAGAAGAATTTTGTCATCTCTAAATAAGTCATTAATTTTTTCTGTTGCTTTAGTTAATGTTGTTCAAACATTTTAGATGAGATGATGCAACGTTTTGTACTATAATTTAAACTACAAATTCATATAATCTCATAAGTTGAAATAATTTATGGGAAATAATGAGCCTATAATACACTAGAATAGAACTTTAGGAGGGTGTTATTCATTTTTCTAAAATTACAAAGGTGGGTGTCATCTTTAATATCGAGGAAGCAATATTTAATTGTTGTTGTATTTCACCAAGAAGATACTGCTCTGTGCTTGGGTCCTATATGTTAAAGGAACTAGATACTTATTTCTTTCCTAGTGTCATTTGGATTTTAACTGAAAACTTTGTATGTATACTATCATCTCCCTTTAGAGTAATATCCGGCTAAAACAAATGTCCCATTCCAATGTACCTTTGAGTCATGGATTTCACTAGTACTCAAGTGAGTCAATGCAAATGTCAACCATCACGCAAATGTAGGGAGGCTTCTATCATGGTGCTAGAATTTTTTCTATCACTTCTTGGAAGTAAGAGGGCCATGGGAGAGATGCATATCGCATCATTGATTGGTTTTGAAGTTGATTATCATTTAAGGGTTCTATTTCTTTAGTTTATTGTGGGTATTGCCTCCATTTCTTCTCTAAATTTGGAAAATAGGGACCATATTTTGTTTGTTGTGGGTATTACCTTCATCTTCTCTAAAGTTTGGAAGATAGGGACCATATTTTGTTTGGATTATCTATGATGTGTTTGTGAGCTTTTGAAAGACTCTACTAGTTACCTTTTTCATCCTAATACTTGCTCCAAATTCCAAAAATAATTCGAGACATGATTTTGGAGGAAAAGACTTAGATGTGTTCGAAGTTCATAGTGGTCATACGCCATATTCGTGCTTGAAATTGGAAACCTATTAGATATAATCATTTACTGAATTGTTGATAAGTTTATTGCCTCACTACTATAAATAATTTGTCTGGGAACTCAATTAGCTTGTACATGTCTTCTTTAACTTTGTTAATGTTGAAACTATGTTTTGCAGTAGTTGCATATGCCAATTACTCTCGTTTCTAAACGCTACTCCTAATAGTTTATTTTAGTGATGAATAATGTCTTTGACCTTGATGTCTTTTGAACTGAACCGTTTCTGCAGTGTCTCTCTAGAGCGTTGAGGAATGAGAATCCAAAGTTGCTAATGGCTGCCTCTGCTTTCCTTCTACCATTTCAACCCCTAATGGTTTCAGCTGTCCACACTGGCATGATGGAGGTAAATGTTTTGAACCACCTATTGTTTTATGATATGACGCAATGGATGCCCACTTGTCTTCTCTTTACACCATCATTTACTGTTGCTATTCTTCTCTCTGCTTATCACCCATTTTCAAACTTGCATATTTGATTTGTTACTGTGCTTGTTTGCTCACATGTGAGTATATAAGTAGGAACCTAGAAGCTCAGAATGCTTTGGATCTCTATATTTCTGAATCTTTTGAACATTTGTCAAAGAGAATATTTCCATTATTGAATAGGTCTGTGATTTCTGTACATGTTATGATCGTAAAAGACAAATGATACCCTTGGGGCATGTATAAAATACATTCGGCAATGGATGGAGGTGTTTTTGCTGTATGCCCCGTTAGGACTAAGGGCCACAATTTTTGTCCTTGGGAAAGATAGTGTGTTGCTCAAAAAAATTAGCAGGGATGTCCAGAGATTCATCAAGATATAGCTTAGAGGTTTAACATTCTTTGATTAATAGATTGAATGTGTTTAGCTCAATGGTAGCTGACAAGAAACTCGGACTAAAAGCACGCATCAGAAAGTAGGGTAACATATCAATGACGTCCATTGAGCAAATAAATTGGGAGAGAATGCCCTAGTGGTTGGCTTGTTTTGGTGATGTAGAAGAGTAATTTTGAGATTCACTTAGTGAGGGGCCCAAATTTCATTTGATAAATTTTTTTAGGATAGCGCTTTTGAGGATTAGAGAGAGTGGGATAAGGGTGGACAAATGTATTTACTGAATAAGGTTGTGACTGATAACGTACAGATCTCTATGGATATAAAATGCCTTTGGGTGCATGTAAACAACATTAAGACATAATTTGTCAAGAAGTGTGACTTCCATGAGAGTTTTAGTGAAATATGGTTGTCACTGGATAGGGCGTGATCGGAATAATAGAATAATATGTAAGATGGTGAAAGGAAATTTAAGAGATAGGTGTACTTAAATACATCATGGAACAAAATGACTAACCTATCCATATCTTTTTTTCTTTTTTTGAGGAGTACAATTAGAAAATGGGCTCAACTACCTTAAACTAAGTATATCTGCATTAACTGTTAAATTACTTACCCAATTGTCCCATGGTTATTTTTTTACTGAACTGCTAGGAGCAGTTCTTATTAATGAATTTTTAGCTTGAAGTAATTGTTAGAGGTATTCATTTTACTGTAACTGTTTTAAGTGTAGTAAACTTTTGTTTTGTCATGATCTGTAGCAAAAAGTTCTCTTTCCTTTAACCCATATGGTGAAAACCTTTAGATTAGTTTAGTAATCATCTTTCCTTTCGTCAAAGTTTCGGTAGCTTTCCTAGAGATTGTTGACCATCTTAGAATTCTGACAATAATGTGTCAAAAATCGCATGTCCAACTTGGGAATCATCCGAGTTGGACCAGATTGGGAATCATCTGAGGATCACCCCATCTTCATGCTTAACAGGACGAGAAACCTCGGAATCATCTGAGTTGGACCAAAATTATTATTATTATTTTGGTTAAATATTACTTGGTCTGGCTTAGCTGGGGAAATGAGACTTGGCCCTGCTGATTCAGAGCCCGATTGTGATTGTTGAAACACTGGCTTAAAATAGTCATATGTGCATGTGATAATTATAAAAGAGGGACCTGTACTTGAATTTGTAGCGCATTCAATTCACCTGTGGTGATTGGGCTCACTAAGGCAATTATCAGGCATGTACGACTGAGCTTTTCTCCAATTAGTTGCTGCGTATAGGAGGATCCCTATCTGGACATTGCGTTATAGAGCCACATAAACCAATTGCATTGTTTAAGTAGTAACTAGCTAATGATATAAATGCCTGCAAGATACAATCATGGCATGTTCCTGTGCTAATGTTAAGAATTAGCAACTTAAGAGTGACAAGGGCTCTCTATTAGTTCTGTCAATCTATAATAAGGTAAACAGAAGTTGCATCGATCTTTTATTTACGGATATGACTTGTGTTAATAGAAAATAGCGGAAGCATCCCATGAGTCACCCAGAAAACTAAATAGATACATGGAGTGGACTGTTTTTCATTGGATTTATGTTCATATATTTTCACTCAACATGGAAAATATACTATTTTTCTGGAATGGATTGCACACTATACATGGAGTGTACTGTTTTTCATTGGACATGAATCTCCACTGTCTGTCACAATGATGAGTCTCCACTTGCGTGGACGATGGTGGAGCATTGGTTCATCTCCTCTTGTCACTGAGAACCAATGTTTAAAAAATCCGTACACGATTCGGGAATTGCCCGAGTCAAACCAGATTTGGAGGGTGGCACTTCTAGGCCAATAAACCCCAGAATTGCATGTCTCCAGGTTTTCATTTTTTATAAATGTTTTTGCTAATTATGGCCTGGTATGATTCTGACTTGCCTGAGTTGGACTGAGGGAATAGGGTTCGAAGCCCTGCCGAGTTACAGCCTGATTCCAATTCTAAAATGGTGAGAACAAATGTGAGATGACATGTAGTATACATACAATATACTACTTGAAGCATGAAAGACTCTCAATATTAGAAATTGGGACCAATGTTCTAAAAAGGGAGGTCCTCCTGTCGCCTAGGCACCCAAGACACCTCTAGCCGCATGCCTAGACCTGGGCGCCCCATTCTGGGCAGCTGTACCTGGGCAGGTGGGCACCCAGTGCCCAGGGATGTGGGCCTTTTTTCAATTTTTAAATATGCCCAAAAGGGCAAATGGGGCAATTTCGACCCCCGAAAAGGTTTAAATAGGTTATGCGGGTTATTTTCAAGCCCAAAGTTAAAAGAACGCTTCCATAAGCCCTCAATCTCTTAGCTATACCTATTTCTGAGAATCAAAAGTATTTTTTGTGGTTTGAAGAAGCTTCTAAAATTACTTTTTTCTCATTGGAATTATTTTCTCATATGGAGAGTTGGAGACAATTACTAATGGGAAAAGTTTATATAGAGCCGAGGCTCTAAACAATCAACTTTGATCCTACCTCAAAAGGTTTACTAGAAGAGGTTGTTTTGATGCCCACATATCTTCAAATTGATCATCTCCACATCAAGATGTATGGACATGAGAAAAAAATGGATTTCAAGTTTTGGAAAAAGTGTATTTTGTAATGCATTTTTAGACCATCTATTTTCAAGATTTTCAAATTTTCATAGATATGTTGATCTACCCTATTTTTGAAGCTTTGAACTTTATAAATAAATATAAAAATGTATTTTAAGGCTATCACAGTTTTCCAGTGGTAAAACCACATTTCTCGACACTATTTGAAGGTAGGCTCTAATTTGATTGTTTAGAGCCTAGGCTCTATACAAACCGCACCCATTACTAATAGATAACCAATTAGACATTTAATTTTTTGTACATTGTGTATGGTTTGAATTTTGAATTTTTGAACAAGTTTATTCTCATCTCGCCGTATGTCATATGTTTATATATAAAAAAGTATGTTACAATATTTTCAAATGCAATAAACTACAAAATTGACGCAAATATATGCATATATATGTGCGTTTGGACAACACATATATGTATATATTTAAAGAATTTGTACTACAGGGCGCCTGAAGTTTTGGGCACTAGGCCAGCCGCCTCAGGGCCGCCTAGCTTTTTTTGAAACCTTGATTGGGACATATTAAGTGTACTATAAGCGAGTGGTACTCTAGAGGGGCATCTACCATCCATTCCCAATGGTGGAGGATAAGGATTAATCATACCTGGATTAATGTTCTGGATCATTAAATATTTCCCCTTTAGGTTATACTATAATGCATCGTTGACATGTGGTGGATGCCCTAGAGAGTCTCCTCTACCACACTCCATTGGATCATGGTATAATTCCCCTTTAGGTTATATGCTTCCATAACTTGTGTACCGTAAGTTGGTAAGATCAATCCCTTAACTTTTATTTATGTTTCTTTGAGGGGAACAGCTAGCATTCGCAAAGAGAGCATTGACAAAGCCAGAATTGAGGGTGGCTCACAACTTGCACACAATGTCCTCATTGTTGGGTGGTGCTTTGTTTATTGCTGATGACATCTTCCCAGAAACTCCTTACATCCATGCGGCCTGGCACCTTGCTGCGGCAGTTGGGGTTGGTACGTGTAACAAGCTTCTCGAATGACTCGATTGGACCAAACCTCATGTTGAAGGTGAGCTCGTTCTATAAAAGCCCACATTCCTTATGTTGGATTGTTTATAATTGTGGAACTGGAAAGTCATTGTTTCACTGGATGGATAGACCGCCAAAACCTTGTACAAATAGTTCTTTATTTTTCTATTTTTCATTCTAGTTTCTTCTTATTCTTCCATATTCTTTTATCCTTAGTGGTAAATTTGTGAAGGCCCTGACAATTAAACGATTGTAGTAATTTGCCTATGAAAAAAAACATTTCTTTTGAGATGTCCATTACCGATGAATATAAGAGCGGACGAAGGTAACTTTGTCCTTTTCCCTATCTTTTTATCAAACTGGCTTCAAGTTCTTGAGATCAAACATCGAATATGTAAAGAAAAACATTTTCACGTGGTCGTTGTCTCCATCATCTGTTATGCTTTTACATATCTCTCTCTCTTCTCTCTCTCTCTCTCAATAATCTCCCTGAATGATGCACTAGAAAATTCTTGAAATAGGCCTAATGTTTGCTTATGGTATTAAATACAGTTCTTTAAATTCTCATTTGTTTTTGTTTTCATTTTCTGAAATTTATATATTATTATTGTACTAAATTTCCTCAAACTAATATCTTATACGTAATTAGATACTAGCAGGCAGCATTGTCGAGCATGCTGAAGTTAATATACACTAATAATATCTAATTTATCTCCATTTTGACATTTAAACATTTTACATGTTGCATATAGATTTTATGAAAGGTAGGTCTGAATCGTTGCTTTCCCATATTTTCTTTTGTTGTCTTCGCTTTATATTATTTTTTCTGAGTCATACTCCAAGTGCATATTGTCCACTACGAAAACTACTAGAGTTCGGTTTTCTTTTGTTTTCCAATGTACTTTCGGCCCCAAAATACTATCAACGAAAGGCATTCCAGATGACTCCTGGGATGGAGGATACCGAGCAAGAGTTAACACCATGGCGAATGTCAAAGGGTATTAACTCGCATGGGAAATGGCTCTAAAAAATCTAGACCCAATCAATGATTCCGACGTGTTGGGGGTTTGGGTCTTCTTGACCTTGACCCAGCTTGGGTTGGGTTTGGGTCTTCTTGACCTTCACCCAGCTTGGTGGGTCTGAGTCCAGGTCCAACTTGGATTAGGTGTAGCATGGGCTAGTTCGGATTTGGGTCGACTTGGACTTG